GTATATTTGTAAGAAGGAGACGGAAGAAATTTAAAAATCAGCAATGACACTGTACTTTACATTTAATAATTACAGTAGGAATGTTTTGGTAGCTTTTATTCACATAAAATTTTTAAATCATGAAGTCATTAACTATGAATTCAAACAATATAGTTTAAATATATTTTAACTTAAGGCACTACATACAAATTCCTTTAAAGCATACTCACATTATTTTATTTACACACTATTTTAAAAATTGACAATAAACAAACATGTTTCATCTCATCTTTGTGCTTCATTTGTAACTTTATGTGTTAACAATGAAGTGAAACCCTCCAAATAAAAGGAATTAGGTGCAATCCTTAAAGCTTATCAGATGTGAGCAAGAGAGGGAGATAAGAACAATGCAAAGGTATTTTAATCTTTTAATGTTCCAAGAACTTATCTGCAAATTCTTATACCAAGCCTAATGGAATAATAATATAAAGCCTATAGCACAGAGCATTGAAATATTTTTCATTCTATTGCTCTTTACCAGAAAGGAACTGGTACATTAGTAACAGCAGGAGAACTGTCCCTATGTCATTCGTAAAAGTACTTACTCTGAATTCACTCACTGAATTGAGAAAAAACACTCAACTCAAAATTTTTCCTATTACCGTGGAATATTGTTGTCATAAAGAATTAAATGTTTCTTGGAGCCAAATACTTTCTACCACCCAGAAAACATAGCAGCATATTATATAATTACTTAACAAAATACGCACCAAAACACAATACAAAAGGCTAGTTTTACTAAAAGATTTTCTCAGTGTTCTACAGGAGTCATTGGCTTTAACAGTGATAGCTTTCTTAAAGATACAAATGAATTAATACAAAGTTCAACATAGTAATATATAAATTATACTTTGATCAAATAAATACTATTGTTCTTGCCCCAACGACATATACTTTTAAAATTTTACCTAACTTAAAATTATAGTATTTTGAGAATGGAAGGAAAGACAAGACAAATAGGTAAATGTCTGGTAGCAAGGGTTAAGACACTGACGGTATCTCTTCCTATTTCATCCTATCTAAAATCCACTCATGGGCTGGATGCCATGTATACATTTCTGAAACTCATAATCACCAATTAAGCTAATGCAATCACTAAAACTCACACCACTGCAAGGACCAAGTATAAAATATCCTAGTATTTTAGACACTTCAAAAACATCCACCACAAAAAAAAAAAAAAAGACTTAAATGTGTCAATTGTATTCTTTTTTTTCCTTAATGAGACTTAAAGTAGAATGGAACTTTTCTATTAAATTGTTCAAATCAACTATTAACCTTTAGGATAGCTGTTTTATGTGAGGAAAAAAATCAGAAATCAAAAATTTTCAAAAAGCAGTTTTAGTCCTATTGGTTTTATCTCATTTATTTATTTTGCTGTTCTTAATACAGTCAACTTATGACCAGCAGCATGGATTATTTATGCAGAATTTATGCAAGAAATGCCTCTCAAGAACCCCAAATACAACAGGCACCAAATACCAGTCTCAAGAAATTAGCAGCAACTCAATATACAATCCAGTTTGCCATACAATTCAATTTCTTCATATTCGTTTTTATTATTAGAAGGTGCTACCTAGCAAAAGTAGGATGACAGTTCTTCACAACGAATCCTTGGCTCTGAACAAACATGTTAAAAGACCTATGCAGAGCGATTATTTCTGGGATCCAAATACTAAAGGAAAAAAAGCAGCAAAGTCAGCACTAAGGCTATTCTGCTACTTAATGCATGAATGGTGTGAAAGATCAAAAGATACTAAATTACGTTTTAAATTTCTTAACTACTCTCTAGCCTAAAAAGTAAGACATGAAGTCCCAAAAATAAATACAAAAATCTCTGTTCCTCACTCTGACCCAATCAAAATCAGATTTGTACTCAGGTCATAAATTTTTCTGTAGCACTTGGATACTTCAGGTTACAATAAACAACATAAGCAAGTTAAATGATAACAAAAATTAATGAATTTTTTTTTTTGAGACAGAGTCTCACTCTGTTGCCCTGGCTAGAGTGCTGTGGCATCAGCCTACCTCACAGCAAC